TGCAAAGCAAATATTTGATAAGGGGTTAAAACCCAAAATACATACAGAACTCATACAACTCAGTAGGAAAAAATTCAATTATAAATGGGCACGGTAGAAATAAAGCCATGCCTATGGCAGAAAATCTATGACAAAGGAAGCAAGAAGATACAATGGAGTAAAGACTGTCTCTTCAATAAATAGTGTCGGAAAACAAGACACATGAAAAAGATAAAAAGGATACTAGACCACTTTCTTACAACACAAACAAAAATAAACTCAAAATGGGTTTAAAGACTTAAATGTAGGACTTGAAACCATAAAAATCCTAAAAGAAACATATACAATCAACTCTTTGACATTGATCTTAGCAGTATTTTTTTTGGTATGTTTCCTAAGGCAAAGACAACAAAAGCAAAAATGAACAAATGAGACTGCATCAAACAAAAAGCTTTTGAACCACAAAGGAATCCGACAACAAAACAAAAAGGCAACATACTGAATGGGCAACCAACTGAATGGGAGAAGATATTTGCAAATGATATACCAGATATGGGGTTAATACCCAAAGTACATCAAGAACACAAAGAGCTCAACATCAGGAAAACAATCTGATTTACAAATGGGCAGAGGACATGACCCCTGAGAGGACATATAGATGGTCGACAAACACATGAAAAGATGCTCAATATCCCTTCACCTTTTTCACCCATCCCTCAAACCATTCCTATTTTATTCCTGATTTAACTCATCCATCTTGCCCATGTAGATGGGTCACAAAGAATGGCAATGAATTATCATAAATTATTCAGCTGGCAACTCCAATTTCAGCTGATATTTCAGACGTTAGGTCTAGAGCAAATCAATGTTGTCCTCGGTCCTCAGTACATGCTGTTAACATGGTGGATCTTTCCTTCCACTTCATAAATAATCAAAAAAAAAATCAGGATCAATAACCCAAGAGAAACGAAAATGTACACTCTCATATAGACATGAATATTTATAACAACTTTGTTCATCATAGTCCAAAACTGGAAACACAACAAATATCAACAAGTGAATAAAGAAACAAATTACAGAATAGTACCCCGCAATACAAAGGAGTAAACCTCTAAGATACATGACATCACACCACACTGAAATCATTTTGCTTGTTTTGCCCCTTAGCTGCCTCCCCACCACACACACCTCTGCCACTACAAACTTTTTAAGATCAGTAACTATTTCCTCTTTTTGACCACATTCCCTCCCAGTGCCTCACACACAGCCTGCCATATAGTGAGCGTGCCCAATAATTATTCGTGGAAGAAAAAAATGTTATTGCTTAAAGGAAATTCAGAATCAATTCGCTTTTTCTCCTATGAGAAACAACAGGATAGCTTCACCACCTTGCCTCAGATCTGTATAACTCATTCTGTCCTACCGTTTATACTGCAGAGAAACTGAAGCACCTCACCACGTCACAGGATATGGAGCTGGTGCATTCCACTGATGGTAGGCAGGTACCGTGAAGAGAACAGAACAATCTGGTACCCGAGATGCCTTGGTAAGAGTGGTCAAGGTGCTGGCTCTTTCCGTGGTCCCCAAACCAGCAGCATCAGCATCACCATCACCTGGGAAGTTGTTAGAAATGCAAACTTCTTGGGTCCTACCCTAGACCAACTGAATGAGAAATGTGGAGGCTGAGGCCTAGAAACCTGTGTTTAAACAAGCATTCCAGGTGATTCTGATGGATATCTGGGGCATGTAAATATCCCCTCCACAATAAAAGTGATAGTACTACCTCTGTAACATTTTTAGAAAGTTGTCTGAAAGCACCTCTACTAAAGATGTTTATGACAGTGATGCATTCAGGATAGCTTGACAAGAGTGTTATTTCTGGGCGTTGATGGACATGCTCCCCCTGTACTATATATTAGAGAAGTGTTTAAAGCACGTTTGTTGGGAGCCGACCAGCAGCCTTCCCTTGACACAGTTGGGACGGATGAGATGCATCTGCACAGCAGAGGCAACTGTGCCTGGATTTCCTGTCTATCTCTCCCTGCATGTCTGTCTTTGTGATTAATAGGTGGTGGGATTTTTAGACACCCGCATTTCAGGGTCAATGATTCACATAATTTCAGTGAAGTTGTACAAAATAATTTCTTGGTCAGAAAACAAAGTTCCCCTTTAATGAAGTAGCCCCTGGATATTTAAAAGTTGTTAGAGTAACAGCCCCTCCTCTACCTTGGACAGGAATAGAATTAGACAGATAAGAAAAACAGGACATCAAAAGCTCTATTCATACAGCTAACTCTAATTGCATGATTTTTTACTCTCCTGGTCAAAATAACCTTTGTCTAACATAACTTCATGCCATGCAGGTGTTCCTTTAATGTTATGTATCAATCTCTATAAAAATAAAGCTTAAATCAATCTCTGAGAGTTCGGTCAGACCCACAGAGGCTGGCTGTTCTCCAGCATCCAACCGAGTGCCTGACTCTTCATTCGTCGCCTGCGCCATCCATCCTTCGGGGACCCTGAGACCTGCCGAGGCTGGACCCCGGCACATGTTACATTCATAAAAGCGATACTTGCTGGATACATTGAGTGGAGTGTTTGCTCATGAATAGAAGAGAGAGCTCCTCTGTACTGCATTTAGAAAAGTGTTTATTTTTTAAAAATAACAATAAAAATAAATATCCCCTCCAAAATAACAAGTTATCATATAAGTCTCTTTGGATTTTGAAGGGGACACAGTTCACATCTGGGTGTTCAAATACATTAGTTACTAGAAAACTGACAACATTTCCGGTGTTAGCGACATAAGAGGCCGTCCAGGTGATCCAGGCTGCAGGGCAGCGCCTGCACACCGCCCCGGTAAACCCGTGGTGCTCGAGCCCTCTTTGGCCGATCCATACTTGGAGTCTAAGGCAAACTCTAGTAGTACAATCCAAAAAAAGGCTTCCGGGATTATTTCAGAGCGAGTCACGCCTTTCCAGCAAGTTGCTATTCTATTCTTTGAAATGCTCTTAGCTTTCTACTGGACCCTCGCAGACTCAGAACACGTGAGGGTGGAACAGAGGTGAAAATTCGACCTGAGTTAACTAACCATCATGAACCGAGAGTCATCTCGTCTGAGTGGGAGATTCCATAAGGCCTTATGGTTTGGATTTAAATGCACAGAAAGGGGATAAAACAAGGCCTCAGACAAGCACTAAGCAAGGAGTTGCAACCAGACCTCTGCCTAAGTCAGAATTCTTGTAAAACTGTAAATTAAGTAAAGGGAAAACTAGAAAGAGACCACCCATGAGTACTACCTCTCCCTGGGCTCAAGATTAGAAAAGAAAGGGCAGTAGGAAAGTACAAGGTGAATCTGGAATATCTTGTTCCATGAAATATAAAGAAACTGAATAAATTACTTTCCAGTGTCACCAAAATAATGCCCTGGAAGACCACAGTCTGTCCCCATAAAAAGATCAACAATTAGACTACTATCTGTGAATAAAAACAGTGCTAGAAGCCTTAAGAAACTTTAGGAACACTATAAAACAAAAAGATAAAAAGGAATAGCCACACAAAAGGGAAGAGAGTTTCATGTAGCCTGCATCATCCCACCCATCAAGCCAGGACTGCTCAGCACCAAGAGGGAACTAACCAGCTAGACAGAGTTCCCTTGACGCAGAAAGAAAGAGTGGGATGAGTGATCAGCTTCCTGAGCCTTTCGGGGAGCTTCAGAAAGGCCCTGTTTCGGTTTCACCCCACCCATACTGGCGAAGCTGAGATACACAGACTGAGATACACAGACTGAGATACACAGTGGTAGCTAGGAAGGAGGGAGGAGGAAGTGGTCACCAACATCGGCCAGTCCAGTGACCTGCCTGCAGGCTGCAGAAACTAACAGCTGCAGCAGATCCCTGCAGATTTCACCAACTGTCACCCTCCAGGTTTCCACATTTGCTGTCACCCACCTGAGTCTCTCCCCACCACTTCCAACTCCCCCCTTCAACCCTCTCAGTGGAGCCTTGGACCCACAACAGCTGGCCCAGGCCTCTGCAGCTGCACAAATCAAGATGCCAGCACGGACAGATGTCAGCAAGTCGCTGACCCCAAACTCTATAGGCGCACTTGAGGCTAGCCTCCCTAGCTGTGCACTTGCATGCTGTCTGTCACCAGCCACCACTGCAGGGCACACAACAGAGGTGGAGACTATGCAATGACCAGAGAACACACCACCAGTCAGGGACCCACGCCACAGCTTTCAGGGAGCTCACGGTTGGCGCCAGCCCTCGCTGCCTTCCCTGGACCCCACCGCTACACACGTCTGCAATGGGCCCCTGCAGCTGGTCCCCACAGCCAAGTGTGCACGCACCACCAGGCCCAGCCACCACCATTGCCTGCCAGTGTCCCCAGCCCTGGATCTGGAGGCACTGCCGAGGACAAAAGCCCGTACAGCCTCTGCAGACCCCAGGCAGTGCCCACCAAGGGTCACAGTTGTCGATGGTGTGGACCCCAACAGCCTCAGCTGAAGGCACATTCTGCCCCTCGCCGCCCCCAGGACATGTTGTATACATGTGTACAACGTTACGTATCAGCTATATCACAATAAAAATTAAATACATTTTAAAAAGGAAAGAAACTCCCATCGTTTTGCCCTTACACTTACCGTCTCACTGCACATCCTGATAGCCGGAATTGGAAGTAGTAACACTGACACAGAGGTTACTATATGCCAAGTCCGGTTCTTAAGCACTTTAAATTTTTAATTTATAAAGTAGGAACTATTGTCTTCATTTTGCATATGAGGACATTGAGGCAAAGTTTAAATAAGTCGTCCAAGGTCAAAAAGAAAGTAAGCAGCAGAGCGAAATATTGCACCAAGGCAATCTGCCTCCTCCCAAACCCATGTTCATAACCATTACTCATTACGGCCCACCAGTCATCTATTTTGGTGGGGCTTGGTCATTAATAAGGATATTCCCCATTCAAATATTTGTGTATTAAAGTCTAAAGAAAGTTTTATTCTGTACTTTATTACCTACCCAAACATCTTTTTCCACATTCCCAACAAAGTCTGGATTGGAATGCATGTTTAGACTGCAGTGTCCCCTGGCAGTCTTCACTCGTCTTTCTTTTTAAATTCTCCCCATCTTCCGAGAGAGTGAGCAGTATTTCCTAGGTGTGTTAGTTGCTGAGAGGAGCACGCCCTCTAGTGGCTCTATCTGGCTTTTATGCAGCCAGATAAAACGTTCACAGAAAATGCTTCAACATTTCTTTCCTATTACAGGTTTAGTGGCAGAGCACACTTAATATTAAAAAGCAAACTTTTAAAAACCCAAGATGGGTCGGGCAAAACATGAGGTCACAGTGGACCACTACTTCACTGCTGGCTCAGATGTGAGCAACTCCTGTTTGCCAGAGCTTTTTAAAAAAGATACCATCTCTGTATCTTGATAGCTTTCAAAGGGGGACCAAAAATTACAAGTGTTGCAAATTTCTGAAGTAATTCCAAACCATAAAATTGCTGCGCAAAACCTGTATGTAGAATTTTAAAAACAAAATAAGGAAACAAGCAGAACAGAAAGATTCTTACACAGAACTTTCTGACAGTGGTTAGATGGGGGTGAAGGAAAGTGAGCGGAAAAGGCAAAGAGATTAAGAAGTACAAACTGGTAGTTACGGAACAGTCGTGGGGGTGGAAAGTACAGTGTAGGGAACATAGTTAATAATGCTGTAGTAACCACATGGTGTCAGATGGGTACTAGATTTATCAGGGTGACCACTTGTAAGTTACATGTGTCCAATTACAGGGGCACACACCTGAAACTAATACAATATTGCATGTCAACTGCAACTCAAAAATAAAAATTTTAAAAACTCCCTAAAAAATGAGGCCAGATTTCTCTTTTAAAAAAATGCTGTGAAAATCATCACAAGCCTACACATCACCCAGGGTTAAGGGACCTTCAAATAAAGTAACTCTTTTCCTTTCTTTCTCATCACAGAATGTAACTAATGGAGAGCACCTGAGTTTAGTTCTATAATCACAAACCATACACAATTTTCTTCACGTACAGCTGAGAGGCAATGACAGAAATGGTTTTTCTTAGCTAGAAAATAACTAGAACATAGCCCAAGTACAATCTTTAGCCAGTTCTGATAATTACAAGGAGACAAGTTTATCAGCAACTATACTACACAATATTCAATTTTCCTTTTTTCCAGACCATAGGGTCTATATACCAAAGTAAAATTGGTCTTCTCTATGGCTTTCTTGATCCCAAATACTGATTGACTTTGGAGCAAATAAATGAGATTTTTCTGCAACTATGACAAAGCATATGAGGAGTACTTAGGTCAGGTAGCTAGGAACAACCTAAATGAGAATGAGGAAAAGAAGGAAAATAACCAACTGAGTTCTAGTCCCTCTTCACTGCAATCACCGTGAATTCAACAAGCAGTTAATGAGCACCTACTATACGAAAGGCAAATGGGAAGTATGGTGAGCAGATAAAAATGAAGACACAGTCCTTACACTTAAAGAGCTTAAAAGCTAATTTAAGGAAGAAAAATTCAAAAGCAACCCCAAGAAACTAGAAATCATCTTTCAGAGTGGGAGAGAGAACAGGTGAGCTAGCTTTACAGCATGGGAAGGATTTTAACATGCAGGCAGAGAGGGAAAGGTGTATCAAGCAGAGGGAATTTTTAGCATTCAGTGCTCACGGTGCTGATGACACTGAAGAATGGCTAGTGCCCCGGTTCACTGGAGCATATTGTGAGCGAAGGGGAAAACTGAGTGGTGGAGGAAATGGTACTTTGAACTTTATTCTGTAAGCAAAGGGAAATCATTAACTCGAAAGAACATGAGCACCCCGATGTTCATTGCAGCTTATTTACAATTGCCAAGCTATAGAAGCAGCCGAAGTGCCCATAGATGAGGGGATCAAACAGCTGTGGGACATTTACACAATGGAGTACTACTCGGCTATAAAAAAAGAATTTTGCTCTTTGCAAAAGCATGGATGGACCTGGAGAACATTATGCTATGTGAAATAGGCAAGTCAGAGAAAGATAAATACGATATGATTTCACTTATATGTAGAATCCAATGAACAAACTAAACAAGCAAAATAGAGACAGACTCATAGAGAGCAAGCTAACAGCCCTGGGAGTTGGGTGGAGGGATAAAGCAAAAAGGAAAAAGGACTCATGGACATGGATCACGGGGGGGGGGGGGGTGTATGAGGGGGTTAAATTGTAATGGAAAATATACAATACAAATTTTTAAAAAATTATTAAAGGCAGTAAGCAGGGGCTAAAGGACCTGTGCAGGGCTTGGTTTTAGGAAAGTTATTCTGGGGCCACATTTAAACTCAATTATAGTTAAGAAAGCTACTGGCAAGTGACTGTCTAGAAGGTTATCAGCGTAGAGAAAGTGAGGAATAATAAAGGTCCACACTTTGGCTGGAGTGGCTCAGTGGACTGAGTGCCAGCCTGCAAACCAAAAAGTCACTGGTTCCATCCCTGGTCAGGGCACATGCCTGGGCTACAAGCCAGGTCTCCAACTGGAGGCATGTAGGAGGCAACCCATCAATGATGTTTCTCTCCCTCTCTTCCCCTCTCTAAAAATAAATATTTTTAAGAATGGAGATAAAGGCTCTCATTTCAACCATGAAGGCAGATATCAATGTGTAACTCAGAAGGTTGGGCTAAAAAATGATTGACTACATTTTCCCCCAAACAAAACCTTAGGATTCGAATACAGTTCCATGGAGGACAGTGCCTCACAACCTCAGTAACGTACGACTGACCATCGTGGGGGAAGCCATCTAAACCCTACCCCTGGAGATCAAATGGGGAGGGACATCAGAATCTCTGGAGAGAGCAGTACGTGTTACTTTACAAAAGGAAAAAAAAGGCAAGCAGCCAAATGCTTGTGACTCATCCATCTCCTGTAACAGTCACTGAATGAGAACTCCAAGATCCTCTAGCTTCCCAAGCCTATGACTCACTTCTGTTCTCTCTCTTACAATGATGCCTTTCATTCTGTCGACTATAGTTCTGGGATGCAAGAGGTGGCGTAGCTCATGAAGATAATTTGAACCAAATGAAATTAACAGCACTAGCAAATAAATGATGAACAGAGTCTCTGTAAGGAGTGCTCTATGTGTTCAGAACCATGGGCAGAGGTGACGCCTCAACTCCTTAAGGGCCCCTATTTCTTGAAAAATAATAGCTACAAAAAGTCCTTTTATTAGTTACTGGCCCATTCATACTAGATCAATTAAGTAAAAAAAGGTAATGAAGGAGGCATATAAAAAGATAAGAGAGACACTACCTTTTTCCGTATTTTTAATTACCATTATTGCACCAATACACTTTATATACATATATCTTAAACTTCATTATCAACTTTTCAGCAATTCTAATACATAATATATTATCATCTTCAGAATACAAAGAACACAACATGGAGGAAGATTGAGAAAACAGGTTCCCAATAGTCAGTCACTAGTGATTCTATAGACTTTCCTTTTAGTGTTTTCTGTGGCATTTAAAATGCCCTGCCACGGCTCTGTAAGAACAGAGCTGCCCGGAAAGGGAGGCAATGGAAAGAAATGGACCCAAAGTTAAAAGGAGCCAAAAAGGAAATCCTGGACAGAGAATATATTTTGAAAGTAAATATAAGGACTCCCTTCGGCCAGAGTGTACACATCCAAACAGCTACTAAGGGAAGAAAGGGTATCTTTTCACTCCCTCCTCAAAGCTGCTAACAAAACAGGCAGTGCCCAACCAGCTGTGCAAGGGCACTCTCTTCACAGCGTTGTAAAAGGGACAGTGGGGCAGAGGGAAAGGAAAGTGGCGGGAGAGCAAACTGCCGCTGAGATACCCTGGGTGATGGGTCTCAAAGCTGTCATTTGGGCAAAAACTATCACAGCTCAAGTGATGACTCCCCAGCTTCCTTCATAAATGAGGACACGTAATAGCAGCTTTTCTACTAAAGAGCGAAATGGACTGAAAATGTTTGTGGAAAGGGGCCAGATACTCAGGCAGCAAGGCAATGTGGGTACTGAACCAGAGTCAGGTGCTTCCCACCTCTCTGCTCTACAGGTCAGGTTAAGAACTCTAACCCCTCCACTTTAGCTCAAAATAATCAGGCAAATACAAAGTAACGCTGTGCTTCAAATGCAGCAATTACATGGCGCTGCAAGAAAGAACAGAAGGTCCTTCAGTAACCTCATTTTGTTATGCTGTTGATGAGATGCTGCAGGAACTTCACTCTTGTTCAAATCAATTAGCCTATGGTAAAACTGGCTTTGTTACCAGCGGTTTAGCTTAAAGTTGAGAAACTATCATCAATGCTGAGAACTTTACTGTAAACACTTCTCTAGAATATAACTTGGAAAACATAGCTCCTTGAACCTCCTTCAACCGAGACACCCACTGATCAAAGATGTTGCACGATTCAACAAACAGAATAGTGGAGGTGCCACCAATACAACCCCGGTATCACAGAAAGAAACGTGTGGACACACGAAAGGGTGATGGAACTGCACCCAGCACCGGATGCTCACTGATCAGGGTAAGCAGGAAGGAGGGTATGTAGCAGACCCAAGAAACAGGCTCTTCTCCATTCCTAAGAAAATCCTGTGTTTGTAAACACTGAGGTCAGGCTGTCTATTTTCAGAGTCTTGGGTTAGTAGAAAGGAAAGTTTCAAGGGTTTTGTTTCTCCTGAAATTGCTAAATAGAGCTTCACAAAGAGGCACACAGGGTCATGAGATGATTCTGAAATATGTTAAAGAATTTAGAAGATGGAGAAAAATTCTGCAGATGGTAGAGGTTGTTTCCCCCTCAGAGATACCCTGGCCTTTGGAGCCCTGCAGTCAGCCACAAGTATGATAAGACCTACTGTTCCCCTGCCTTGAGCTTAAAGAGGAGATAAGAAATGCTTTCTTGGCTGCACAGCAAGTAACAATACAGGGGTATAAAATAAAACCAGCTCGAATACAATGGAGAAGCTATGAAAAAGATTGTCCGGTAATTTTGGTTCTGGGGAGAGAAGGGATTCCTAACTTCCCTCACAGATTGGTGCCCTCAAGGTCATTTTATTCTTCAAGTCTGTCCTTAAGCCAATGCCATTCAGAACTGGACCCAGTTGGATGGCTGTGGTGCCTGGTTTGGAACAGAGCTGCAAAACAAAACAGAGAAAGCCAAGGACATAATATTGGGATAGCTACTCCATTCTTTACTTAATAGTTTCAAAGAACTCAATGCCTAGAATTCCAAAAACTGTATTTCACAGCAATTCTACTTACCAAGGCCTGAAATATCCCACTCTAACTTCATCCTACAGTTTGTTTTTATCCCCCCATTCCCAGCGCTTACACTTCCTTACCTAGAATTCCTACTGGAGATGCTCTATGACCTACAAATGCTGTTTTCCCAGATCACAGACTTCATCTGACTGCATACACCCCGACTGAGAGCATGCGGGCTGCCCTACGGTTGTACCTGGGTGCAGTACTAAAGTCTCCCCACAAATCATTGTTCACAGAAACTGGAGCCGGTGCTGGTGTTGTGATAGGAGCAGGAGAATCCAAATCTAAAAGGATATCTGAATACAAGATAAGAAAAGAAAAAAAAAGGAGAAACATAATAAAAATCTTAGAAATGAATACTTATGTTCACACAGTCTATACACGGCAGCTTTATTTGTAACAGACAGAAACTGAAACAAGTCAGATGTCTGTACGTGGGTGGTGGTCAAACACACTTTGGTACATCCCAACCACGCAGTACTATGAAACAATGAATGGCAAGAAACTGCTGATACACCAACTTGGATGATCTCAAGGGAATTATGCTGAGTGTAAAGAACCAACCCAAAAGATTATATACTGTATCAGCGATTTTCAACCACTGAGCTGTGAGAATTTTTTAAAAGATTTTATCTATTTATCTTTAGAGGGGAAGGCAGGGAGAAAGAAGAGGAGAGAAACATCAGTATGTGGTTGTATCTTGCACGCCCCCTACTGGGGACCTGCCCTACCCAGGCATGTGCCCTAGACTGGGAATCAAACCAACCCTTTGATTCGCAGGCTGGTGCTCAAACCCTGAGCCATACTAGCCAGGGCTGCAAGAATTTTTTAAAATGTGTAAATACCTGACTATTTAGTCAGGGGTATTGACCTCTTTTGCCTTAAACTGCCAAATAAAAAAAAAAAAAAGACAACCAACACAACAATAGCTGTCCAGTGTGAATGAATCAAAATTATACCTACTTTTTTTTCAGAACAGCAAAAAAACCATTTTTTGGTGTGTCACACAATTTTAGTAATTGGTTTATGTGAGCCATGAGATGAAAAAGATTGATAACGGCCTACTATCTGACTCCATTTATGAAACATTCCTGAAGTGACAAAATTACAGAGATGGAGAACAGATTAGTAACCCCCAAGGGCTGGAGACAAGGGTGTTGTGAAGATGAAGAAGGGAAGAGCTGGAGGGCGGCATGACTCTGACAGAACAACGCAAGGGGTCCTTGTAGCAACAAGACTGTTCCTTATGCCAGGTGGGTCCGGGAACCTGCCCACAATGAAAATGCACAGAACTACACACACATACACACAAACGAAAACACATAAAATTGACAAAATCAAAGTAAGCTCAGTAGATAATATCAAGGTCAATTTCCTGGTGGTGATATTACAGTTTTGCAAAATGTCCCCATTAAGGGAAACAGGCTAAATGGTAAAGAGATTTATTTGTATTATTTTTACAACTGCATGTGAATATATACTTATCCCATAATAAAAAGTTTAATTAAAAAAATTTTTTAAATCTTAGATATTTATCCCTAGCCTTCTATTAACACTTATTATAACTCACTGATCATAATACCTGGTTCTCTAGTCTTAGGAAAATTCCTTTCTGCATTCTAAAGTTCTCACTCTTTAAATGGAAATAACTATCTATTCTTCTTCCTACCACATAGTAAGAACAAAAATATATTCACAAACCTGAATGTCTCATTTTCTCCCACTGCCCTCCTGAAGAAATGGAAAAGGTTGAGAAATACCAGTCACTAAGTGGCTGCCATGTTCCGGGACTGAGCTGAGCACAGTCCGTCACTGAACCTTCACGACCTGGGGCAGTTTTACTTCTCCATTTTGCAGATAATGATACGGATACTCAAAAAATATCTGCAACCAATTGAACTAATATCCATATCTGTAGGAACCTACCACATACCATGACTCTCGTTCACTAGAAAAGCTCTGATCCCTTGGTAGAGGCTGCCTGAATTACCTTGGCGTACCAAGTGCCATTTAATAGAAAAAACATCAGCACTCTCCTTGGCACATAGGTGTTACCCAGTTATAACCTAAAGTATGATTTCTGAAGGTTAAAAGTACTGGAGAAGTTTACCTGCGTCACCACCTCCATGGCTGGACTTTGGAATGGGAGGTGGGGTGACATGATTGCTGATGGCGACTGAGGACGGTGGGGGAACAGTGACTTTGCCTCCAGGTGGGGGTGGGAGTAAGCTTAGGCCCCCGGTCCCTGCAGTCTTGGGCTTAGAAGTGCCTCCTTTCTTGGTTGTAATGTTCTATAAAATAAAAAAAAGAGGGCGAGCAGGGGAAAGAAAGAGCAGTTACAGGCTTATGGAAATAGAGGCAAAGAGGGAAGAAAGCATACTCACCCCAATACTCAACTTGATGGTCTGTCCTTCCTTGAAGCCCAGATCCAACTTGGGACGTGTGTCCATTTCCTGAGATTCTTTGGAAATCTCAGATTCCTGCTTTACCCACCTTCAGCAAAAGAGTAAGTTATCTTAACTTGGGATTCCCTGAAAGCAGAGTTTGACATACAAATTTGAGTACAGCTACTTTATGTAAGACAGGATTCCAGAAAGCAAAGTGAGGAAGGATGAAGATCTGAGAAAAAAAAAGCCAAGAAAGAGGGCAACCAGGACTCGGATTCCTCTGAGGAGCCAGAGAGACTGTGTATTAGACTTGTCTCTCCAAAGGAGGGCATTTAGCCACCAATTCCCGTCCCCCATGGTTGAAGGCTGCCACTGGGAGGGTGTTCACTCCTCAGTTCTTCCAGGTTGCACCCCTTTGCTAACTGAGTGGCCTTCCCCAATTTCCAAGAGTCCCGCGCCAGAAAGCAGAAGTATGCCTGCCCTTGAGGCAGCAAGCTGCCAACGTGCATGGTGCTTCCCACTACAGCTACAGCTACAG